ATCTGCAAGCAAAAAAACCTCAGATGCCGATCCTTCAGAAAAATTAACTCAAAATGGATAATAGCCTGAAATATAAAGTTCCAAACTATAAAACTCCTAGAAGACAATATAGGAAGAAATCTGGATGACCTTAGGTATGGCAATGACTTTTTAGATCCAAAAGACATGATCCATGTTAACAAAAAAAGAAAAGAAAGAAAAGTGAGAGAGAGAGATAAGCTGGACTACATTAAAATTAAAAAGTTCTGCTCTACAAAAGATACTATCAAGAGAATGGGAAAACAAGCCATATATTGGGAGAAAATTTTTGCACAAGACTTATCTGATATGACCAAATGTATAATGCAAAATATGCAAATTAACTCTTAAAACTCAGTAAGAAAATCAACAACTTCATTAAAAAAAATGGTCAGAATATCTGAATAGACACCTCATCAAAAAAGATACATAGATGGCAAATAAATACATTTAAAAATGTTCCACATGTTATTAAAGAATGGTAACTAAAACAACAATGATATTACTACATACCTTCTAGAATGGCTGAAGTTCTTCAGGCAAGGCTGTGGAGCGGCATGGAACTCTCATTCACTGCTGATGGGACTGCAAAATGGCACAGCCACTTTTTTAGACAGTTTAATGGTTTCTTATGAAACTAAACCTACTCTTACCATGCAATCCATCAAATATGTTCTTTAATCTGCACATGAATGTTTATAGCAGCTTTATTTATAGCTGCCCAAACGTGGAAGCAGCAGCCAAGATGTCCTTCAAAAGGTCAACGAATAAACAAACTGTGGTACATCAAAACAATAAACTATTATTCCACAATAAAAAGAAATTAGCAATGAAGCCACAAAAAGAAATAGAGGGACCCTAAATGCATACTGCTTAGTGAAAGAAGTGAATCTGAAAAGACCACGTACTATACAATTCCAACCATATAACATACTGGAGAAGGTGAGACAAAAGACAGGTTAGTGATTGTCCCAGGCCTGGGGGGAGTGAGGGGTGAATAGGTGCAGCATAAGGGATTTTTAGAGCAGTACAACTATTCTCTATGATACTATAATGGATACACGTCCTTATACACTTACAAAACCTGAAGAATGCACAATGCAAGCATGAGCCCTAATGCAAACTATGCACTTCCATTGTTAATGATGTGTCAGTGCTGGTACACCAGTTGTACCAAATGTACCACACTGAGGAGAGCTGTTGATGATGAAGGAGAATGCATGCTTAGGTAAGAGGGTGCTTATATGAAAATTCTCTGTACTTTCCACTCAATTTTGCTGGGCACTTAAAACTGCTCTTAAAAAACAACAACAAAAAACCCACCAGAGTCTATTGAGAAATGTATGAATTGGTCATCACCCAAGTATTTTTAAGGCTCAAGCAGGTGCAGGAACTGCCAGATAGAACAAACCCCATCTCAGCAATCCACAGCACAAAACAAAGAAGGTTACCTTAGAGCATTTCCTCACAGGCCAAAGGGGATTTTCTTATTTGCTTATTTTTACAACTTGTAGAGGAAAACATTTAGTTCTTAGGAGGCCCAGGACAGTCAGCTAGACAGCCATGGGCCAACTTCCTGAGAAGCTTTACAAAGCATGGCAATGTCCAGACTTCTTGTTCCCAGGGCTGCCAAAATAATGCTGTTGCCACGGAAGCCAGATGTAGGACAGGTCTGCTGTTAACCCAGTGGCATGCCCTTTCCTACTTGGCTGTTCACCTGCTCCAACCCATGGTTGGTATTTTCTTGTTTTAGTTTGTACTGTTTTATGTTTTCCAGAGCACTCGTCGCACAGAACAAGAAAACATGCTGTCATTTTTCCTCTCCGTTTCTCTAGGTCAGTGGTTTGAAACCTCAGCTGTACACTGAAATCACCTGGGGAGACTGAAAAACTACAATATCTGGGCCCGCTCCTTCTGAAATTCTGATTCAGTTGGTCCGTGCACAAGTAGTTTGGCCTAGCTTCCCAGGTGATTATAATTTACAGCCAAGGTTGCAAATTATTGGTCTCAGAGAGTCCTTGAGATTCACACAGACTCCTACACTCCACCCAGTCATATGAAAAGAGTTGTTTCTACCTCATAAATCAGTTTTAAAGACACACTTCTTTCCCACCTCCATCCCAGCACATACAGAAAGGTTCTAGGAAGTGTTCTCTCAGACCATGCATTCACTGATGTTCATAGATATGTATTAAGCACCTACATGTGGATGCTAGGCACTGAGAAACAAGATACTTCCCTCAAAGAGCTCAGTATAAAAAGCATTATCAACCAAACACCTCTAAAACAAAGGATTAAGTCATAGGGTCTCTATTTATGGTTGTGGTTTGTACAGACTCCATTTGACAGGTCTCTGCCCCAGCTCAGAGCTGTGTCAGCCAGAAGGAGGAAGGAGGCTATTCATAATTCACTCAAAGATGCCTCACATGCTGGGGAGGGTCCTGGCCTCATGCAGAATAACCTGAGCTAGGCACTAGCACCATGGCTGGCATTGGGGAGACACTCCATTATATTCAGTGAGTGAGCAAAAAAGGGCTGAACAGAGTATTCATAAAATGGATTTAATACTGTCTGGGAGGATGAGGTCCAGAAAGGCTGAAGGACTAACACTTGAGCTGAGCCTTGAAGAATGACATCCCAGCTGAGAGGTAGGGGACAAGCATTCCTGGAAGAGGAGTTGGTCTACAGAGTAGAGAGTGGGTATTGGAGGCATTCATGTCCACTGGAGCTCAGCAAAGAGAGGTGCACGAAGCAGATGAGGAAGAAGCTGTGAAGGGCGTATGACAGAGTGGAAGTTTTACCTACTGGGAAGCAGTGGGAGCTTTTCAGCTACCATGTGACACAATCAACTCTTGGTTTATTAGATTATCCTGATGGCCCTGTGGGGGCAGCCCTGGAGGCAGTGGGGAAAGATGCTAATGGCCACCCAAGACTCTAAGTCAGATTTGGAAAGGACTCGAGAATTCCCAAGAGAACCTGATAAGTAGATGCCTGGGAGTTCTATTTAGTAGACTCTCCCCCACAGCACTCTGTATACCGTGCTCACATTCCACATCAAAGCTACTTATTTTTGTCATCTGTCATTGCCTTTGCAGTGGGTGGACGAATGCCTTTCTATTATACTGCCTCAGATAATCTGATGTCATCAAGAGCCAAAGAAGAAACCAAGTCTTGGGAGGATGTGTATCTAAAGCAGCCCACAATCAACTGACAAAAGACCTTGATCAGAGGAAGAACAAATGACAAATTGTTATTTCTTTCCTTCTAGAGAGTACCGTGAACCCAGAGGAAACGTTTCTACACAAACTATGAAATGCGGTGCAGATATGCCTCCCCTACATTTCTTACAGTTTTCCTATAGGTGGGAGTCTCTGAGGAATTCTGTTTATCCTCAAAACTGGCATCAGAATACCCATCTATTCTTTTTTTTCCTTTTTTTCCCCCATCTATTCTAAATACAAAGTTGCTGCATTCATTTTCTGAGATTCACTTCTGAAATAACTAGAAATGAAGGACAATTACATGCTCTTATTTCCACATATTCTTTCACGACATCGAAGTATTTTGGCTTCGATTTGTAGTAGCTTGTCTTCTGTAATTGAAACAAACAAAAAATAAATACCTAGATGCACTTGGGTGCCTCAGTCAATTAAGCCTCCGACTCTTGATTTTGGCTCAGCTCATGATCTCAGGTTCCTGGGATCGAGCCCTGACTCAGGCTCCATGCTCAGCAAAGAGTCTGCTTGAGATTCTTTCTCTCCCTCTCCTTCTGCCCCTCCCCACCCTCTCCCAAATAAATAAATAAATCTTTTAAAAATACATACATACATACATACATACACACACAAAGTTCCACCTGTGTTATCACTAGGAATAGGGCCTGTTTTTTCATTACCTCCCAGCTAATCTAACCTGTTGCCTCCCTCTGTAACATTCTTCCAGGAGGCCTCTTGCTAGGCTCAGGTGCCCTTACACAACCCAGTGGAAAGCCCCTCATTGCCAGGATGCACCACTCTTCCCCTCTCCTTCCCCTTCTCTTTCTTCTGTTACCCCAACCAAACTGGCTTTTAAGGTCTGATCTGAGAACAGTGTCACTAAATCACATTAACACGTTACAATAGAATTTGGTGATGGATAGCAGGTTTAATCCTGAATGTGCCAAAGTGCTTTGTTCTCCATGAGTGGGACTCTTCTCCAACAAATGTGTTCATAGATCCCTTTCCACCCAGCATCTTGCTGGTTACCATGCCTACTTCTCCAGCGCCATTTCTTGCCAGTCCTCTTGGCGGTGACCTCTGTAGCCATACTGGTTTTCAGTCCTCAGAAGACACCCTACTCTCTCTCTCAATACACCAGCTTCTTCCTGACTCAGGGCTTTGCATTTGGTGGTCTCCCTGAAGAGGCTGCTACCTACATATTTCATTTGGTTTCTACTTAAATGTCACCTCTTACCCAAAGGCAGCTCCTGACCAGCCTAGCTAAAGTGACACCACTCCCCACACCACCCACATCCTCCAGGTATCTCTCTCATGGTGGCTTTCAACTAGAGGTGATACTGCCTCTCAGGAGATGTTTGTAGTTGTCACAGTTGGAGGGGCCCAACTGCCTCCTCTGGTGGGTAGAGGACAGGGATCCTGCCAAATATCCTACCGTGCACAGGATGGTCCCATAACAAAGGGTTATCTGGCCCCAAATGCCACGGTTGAGAAGCCCAGCTACTACTATTTTCTTTTTATTCCTCCATATTAACTAGTACCAGAATTGATGGTCAGGGGCTTTCTTCCCTACTAAATTGGAGTGCCTCAGGAACTGGAGTTCACGGTTATTCTCTGCTCCACCCCCAGCACTTAGAGGAGTGCTGGGCACACTTGACTTTCAAATCTTGCCCCACTTACCCTTGCCTTGAGAGCCCACAGCAAATTAAAGATGCCAGGCTCCAACTAACAGATGAACCTGAGAAAGAAACAAGTCAATTTTCCAAATGAAAACAAAAATCTCTTTTATTAATGAGTGTACCTACAAAAGAAACCAGTCGCAAAGTGTGCCTCATCCCTCATGCACTCACAAAATTATCTTAGTGATTAGTGATTGGCTATTAGTGAAAGATACGTTCTGCTACCTCTTAAAAGCGTGCAAATTTTCCCAAGTTTAAATATCTTACTTACACCAGTGTCCTAATGTCCCAAGACAGATTGCAGAAAATGGAACCTCAATCATCTCAAAGGATTGAAAACAAAACTCAATACATTCCACAAGATAGATGTATTTATAGAAAAGAATTAAGTATCAATACTTCCCCTTCCTCCCTTCTCATCTGTTCATCCTATAGTACATATTTTTCTACAGTATAAAATTAGCCAAATTACCCAATATCCACTTTTTCAAAAAAGATACATTACCCCCCCATAAAGTACCATATAGCAAAAGACATATGAATGCAATACCATTGAAATTATTTACTGAGCACTAAGGCTAAATCCGCTATTACTGCAAACTCAAACGCCCCCCCCCCCAAAAAAAAATCCTTTGCCTTTCTGTAGTGTTTTCCACTTTTCAAAGACTTGAAGTAACATAACATTGGAATTACTGCTATGACACCAATATAATTTTGGAAATAATTATGCCTGATTACATTAGAAAATGTAGGCAACAAGAAAGATTTACCCTGTCATCCAGTGTTTCTGTTAAGACTAGAACCCAAGTCCTAGTCCTACTTCTGTGTATTGTATCACCTCCACATATCCTTATATATCGTTTCACAGAATGCTACTGGGTATGCCAGTAGTCACTATGTTCATGGGTTTCAAGCAAGTTTCGGAAATGCTGAATGAACAAAGTTAACCAGATTCCCAGAACTTTCAATGTGCCATCATAAATCTCCAGGAAGCATATGAAGAGTGTAGCTGTCATAATTCAAAGTACCAGCTACAATCAGGGAACAAACGTGTATGCAGGAAAGGTGAGGACAAAGGACTGAGGGGATGTAGCACCATTTAACTGGGCATTGACTATGTAGGAATGCCATTCAATATTGCCAGGTCTTTTCAGAAAAGCTATAAATCCAGAGTTTAATCTGAAATCTCCATGTTTGTGCATGTCACCTAGAATTTAAAAGAAAAACACTGCAGTTTAAACAAAATTTCTTGGGCTAGATCAGGCCTTGGTCCCATTTAGAAAACCCAGTACAGCAGGTTTAACAATCTTATTTGGCCATATAACCTTTATTCGGAGGTCCTGTCAACTTCCTAAAACTCCGCAGAAAAATGTCAAAGAAGTTGTCTTCAGAAATAAACATCTTGCCCTCCTAGACCACTGTGGTGCAACTCTGAACCCTAGGAGGAGTTATCTCAGGGTTTACTCAGATTGAAATTAATACCCAGCCTCCTTAACTGTTAATGTAGCAATGCCTCTGGTTACTAAAAATATCCTCACCGTTTGCCTTTGCTTAACTCTCTTGGAAAAACCAAACATCTAATTGAACTGTGAAAAAAGGAATAGCACTAGAATAGTTTTTGCTATTAAAACAAACAAGCAAACAAAAACAAAACCTTCATCCTTCCAAAACAATTTTAAAAATCTCAGTGATTTGAGGACAATTTAGAATCTTGATTGAAAATAGTAACACTCTCAAACAACACTAAGACATTTGCAAAGTAACTTTTCTAAAGCAGGACACCATTTAGCCTTCTCCCTTTTTTTCTTCTATTTATTTCTACCCTGCCTCATTCTAAAAATTAGTTCAGAGAGCGTGACAATTGTCTACACAAATACTTGGAATGGTGGAACAGAGGTAGCAGAAATAGCATGCAATAAATTATATGGCAAATGATTTTCTTTCCCTGGTATCTTCTTGGTCCACTCACTACCCTAGTTTCTTCAGCTAAAATACCCACCCTGGGTCCAGGGAAAGCCTTAATACCATATATTTCCAGAGCCATGTGAAATCAGATTTACGTATAATGGTGAAATCACATTCACTTCTATTTCCCCATGTGGAAATAAAAACCTATGTACCCCCATGATTGAAAGCCTTGAGGAACCTAAGAAATGTAACATTTGGAGTTACAAGGTAAAAAACAAGAGATAATCATGAAATGCTTCCAAGTGAAGTCCTTTAAGTCCCAAATCATATTTGCTGATTTTAACTCATAAGTCTTATCTTTTTGACGACTTTGGTGACCAAGGTGGTAGTTCTTCTCCTGCCTCACCAATGAGAATTCTTGATGGATATAGAGTTCATATGATCCAAAGAGAATATATAATTATAAAGTGTTCATGTTTGGGAGAAAGCTCTGCAATGACCAGAAGATTGAAATAGTGAAATAGCTTTAGCATAAAAAATTAGAACTATATGACGACCAATGACTGTACACACGTGAACTAAAGTCACTCTACCCAACTTAACTGACATGTTGGAATATCATTTGAAATTGACAGAAAAATTATTCTAGAGCTTAGAAGAACTCTGACATGGTGATATCTTGTCACTTTCTTCTGCAATCAAGGGCATAAATCCTTAGAGAGAGCCACTGGGTCTTAATCCATGACGTAAAGATTGTCCTCGATAATGTAGATATTGTCTTCTGCTTGGACACCCACTTCAGCTGCACTTTGCAAAGCTCCAGTCTGAGAGTCGTTCAACGAAACCATGCTACAGAAAGAATAATACGAGTAAGGAAAAGCAGACCACTTCTAAAGTATGATGAGCACATTTGTTTACATGGAGGCAAGGCCAGGTATTTGCAACTCCCAGAGCCCTATGAAGTGAATAGGAGATCCCTATTAAGTTGCAAGAGAGTCTGTTTAATAAGCAGGTAGAAAACCTAAGTATTCTCCTTGAGAAAACTCTTGTTATAGAATATAAAAATTGAAAATCTAAGAAGACTGGTATCAGACATCAAATTGAAGTCGTAAATCAAGATGCATATTCTCAAGGGTAGCTAAGAAATGGTTTGGCTCTTGTTTTTCTAACTGTGGATTGTATCCTTCCAGAGAGGGTTATTAAATCTATTTAGTGGTCTATAACCTGCATTTAGGATAAACAAAGAATACAAAATATATCAGAACATATTGGATACCTTAAAATAGTATTGCTTCACATAAGCATGTACTGGATCATGGTGTCAGAAATCTTAGTGTGTCTTAATGATCCAAATTTGAAAGCCATGGGCTAGCTTTCTTGCATAACACATGCAGTAAGTGTACAGAAAGGTCGTGTGTGCAATTTTGATATAGCTTCTATTTTATAATTTGTAGAGAGTGCCTGTTTTTATTACCTAAGCCTGACCAGAAATGATATGGAACATACTGAGGCTTTACTCAGCTCTGATCTTTAAGTGATTACTCACATATGTGAGGTTAGGTGAGGACAGTAGCTTAAAATAAGTCAGCATGACATAACTGCAAAAGAAAGAGAAAGAAAGAAAGAAAGAAAGAAAGAAAGAAAGAAAGAAAGAAAGAAAGAAAGAAAGTCATGAAGAAATACCCGGATTTTAAAGTATATTTTATAAGATTTTCTACAATAAATATTATCTTTTATGATAAAAAGTCAACCTTTAGAAAAATTTAGCAGTGAAAGAACAGAGATCAGCTAAAAGGAAGTGCTATGTTCTGTGTTTTTCTGCCTGTCAGGAGTAATTTCTTTCGTCCATCCTTGGAAGCACATAGTCAAAAACTTCTGTAAGTTATGGATGCAGGACTCTAAAAGACCTAAGACTGAGTCATTTACCTGCTGTGTGGTGTGACTTGGATGTCACTTAACACTTCTAAACCTGTTCTCCAGTATGTATGCTGAAAATAATAGCACCTATCCCATGGGTGTATTGCTGCAACACACATAGCTGCAATAATAGAAAGTCAACGTTTATGGAGCACTTACAATGCGTTGGGCATTGTTCAAGATGCATTCAGCAGACTGGCTCATGTAATTAACTCAGGTCTAGGAAAAACTGTGTGCAAACATCCAATGAAAGAGAACTAAGAATAATGTGTGGCAACCTAAGAGGGAAGGATTTTGAATCAAAGACCTTGATTTAAAGCCCAAGCTGTTCCAAAAGAAGCAAGCTTACTTGGATTTGGATGTAAGTAGTGGATTCCTGTTATTACAACTATTCCAGTAGATGACCACAGGGCATGGATGCAAATAAAGGGGATTTAAGTTTTAATTGGGCAGTAGGATGGATTTACAAAAATTGTAAATCCCATCGCCTATTAGGCCAGATAACCAATGCAAGTGAGCAGATCAGGCTGGGAATGGAACTGCAGGGGAAGACAGGAACTGTCAAGAGCCGGAGGCACTTGCCCCTACCACAGTGCCTTTGCACATCTTCAGTCTGGAGTTTCCTTCCAGATCTTTGCAGAGCTGCCTTCTGTTTCTTCAGGGTTCCCTCAAATAGCCCATTACCTTGCTCAGTTTCCCCCCATGGCATTTGTCTAGAAACATTAAAAGACCTGTGTTTATTCACTTACGTGCTTTCTGTATGTTTTGTTCATCTCTTTGAAATGCAGTAGACATTTAATAAACAAAGCACTGAATGAAGTTAAAGAACAAACCAAACAACTCATTCAAATGCTCCATCACACAAAATTTGTGATCTCTTGCTCTAAGAGGTTAAGATTGAAGTGCTCCTTCTGTAGCAGTTATGGCACAATTCCAGAGAAATATAGAAAGTTAAAAATATCACTAGAAGTTGTGGGTAACAATAGAGGTGCTCATTAAACTAGATTTTTCAGGATCTAGGGTATAAAATGAAGAGTTTAGGATAAATAGAGGAGAAAGAGAGAACTTTATTTTTAGCAGAGTAGAAATATCAAAAGGTATTGACACAACCCCTTTCAAACTTACTTTAGTTGCTCCAGTTTGTTTCTTATGCATAAATATTCTAAATTGGGGAAGAGTCAAAGAGAAAAATAAACATGTCAGCCAAAGAGTTTATGAGATCTTTTTTCAAACAAGTATATTGTTTCTATTACTTTACTATGAACAAAATATGTACAGGGCTAGAGCCTGAAAAATAAATTTAAAAGAAAGAATGTTTAAAATAAGAAAGGAAAAAAAAGCCAAACTGGATGATTTCTGAGTTACTCAGGCAACTCATTTTTAATCAGCAAGACCCAAACAAGTTTCTTAGTATAAAGTATCTCACTTTCATTAATGGTTTAGTGTATTTACCACATGCCTAGGCTTACTTTAAAGCAGTTATTAATAACTAAATTTCATTTTAAAAAATGAATAATTGTACTTCTTTCGTAAGAGTTAGGCTAAACACACACACCATATACACACACTGCACACATAACACACACACATACACCCAAACAAAACCTCGTGAAGCCCTTCTTCTAGCCCTGGCCCTGAAATCAGTTTCCCTTCCAATGTTTCATTTGTCTCTCCTCTTAAATAGGCCTTGTAAAAAAAAACTCAGTAATATCATCCCTCACGGAGACAAAAATCTGGTTCCTGAGCAGAGTAGAAAAGAAGTAAACAAATCATATATACTACAATGGTTTGTTGCTTCCAAATTCCAAGTCTACCCAAACATTCTCATTTCTTAATATTCAATTTGCCTCTGTAGAATTTATATTGCATCTTTCACTTTATAGGTCAATAATTTAAAAAAAAAGAATAGTTTAGAAAACAGAAATTTTTGTGAAATCCCAATCACGTGGCATGTGGAACTACTTGAACTCAGGCAGTTTGCCTCTAGAGCCCTTGCATTGATCCCTTATGCACAATCCCAAAATGACTTACTTTTGGTGATCACCACAACCAACATGGTAAGCAATACCACAGCAGTAATGCAGATGCCAATGTAGAGTCCCTTACTGGTGGTCATCCATGGATTTTGTGCCAGCGACACATGCTAAGGAAACATCAGTGGATCAGAAGAACATCTTTTTAGAGTTATGGGTAGAAGACATTCCCTAAGGGGCATCTGGGTGGCTCAGTTGGTTAAGCATCTAACTCTTGATTTCAGCTCAGGTCATATTGAGCCCCATGTTGGCTCTGTGCTGGGCATGGAGTCTGCTTAACATTTTCTTCCTCTGCCTCTTCACCGCCCACCCCCCACTCACTGCCCCATGCTCTCTCTCTCTCCCTCTCTAAAAAAAAAAAAAAAAAAAAAAAAAAAGGAAGACATTCCCTAAAATATTGGACTCATTTATCTTTATTGGCCCTTGGCTATTTCTGGATCAAGAAGGGTAAGACCAAGTGATTGAGGTTGTAAACATGGTGAAATTCAAAGAGCATTTAAAATTTGAAATGTATTTGGGGATGATAGAAATGTTTTATATCTTGCATGGGGTGGTATTTACATAAAAGTGTGCGTTTGTCAAAACTCAAACTATATGCTTCAAATGGTATACTTTATTATGTGTAAATTATACATATTTTTAAAAATCAATAAGATATTTCTACATATATATCCTTTGATATTAAAAAAGAAAACATAAGTTTTGTTCATATATGAGTTGACCTAGTAATGCCATCTGAATATGCTCAGGTATTGAATTTGGTCCTTAATGACAGTTCTTATTTTTTAACTATATCAAAGATTCTATGTCTACATACAATGACTTGAAAGTAGGTGCTCGCAGACATGGCCCTCGTTAACAACCAACGTGAAATGCTGTCAGTTGGGAAAAGATGCAGAAATTTGTTTGAACATCTTAGTGCAGTTTGTAAAGGATCACCACCTTCTGGAATAAGGCCAAAATATGCCAGGCATCACACTCAGCCTTTTGCATAGTTTAGTTCTAATCCTAGAGAGATCTCTGAGGGTAAGTATTTTAACAGAAAAGAAGATCAGAGAGAAGGATCAAGTCTCTTCTTGTATAAAAGTTTAATCTCTGGAGTCAGGATCCCATCTCTTTGACTTAGTTGCTGTGTGACTCTGGACAAGATATTTAGCCTCTCTGAACCTCTGTGTTTGTGTCTGTCAACTACAGATTAAACAGGGTTCTTGGGAAAGGTACTTTTAGGTACTCCCTGATAAATACGATGAGGAAGATAGGGGATGGGGAAAGTACTTAGCGTTTGAGCTTAAAGGGGAAATAGCCAGCATCTGGGAAGGAAGAGCTGTTATTATTTTACCAGTGGGGGGTAAAGCCATTAGCTGTAACATGAGGTTGCAGGAGGCAGGCTTTGCTTTTATTTTTAAAAAATATTACATAAAAACTGCATGTTCATTTTAGAATGTGTAGCTAAGCATGAAAAAAGGAAAACTAAAACCAACCATAACCTTAACATCCAGAACAAACACTATTACCATTTTTCATTAGATACTCTTCTAGAATTTTATCCTCCTAGTGTTTTTCTTAACAGAAACAATTACTATATTCAATATATGCTACTACATACACACACAAACTGTTTTAACAGTTCCTTTTTTCATTTAAAGATCAGTAGTAACTGTCTACCCATGTCAGTAAATGCACTGCAGTGACTAGATTCTTTTTTTTTATTTATGATAGTCATACAGAGAGAGAGGGGTAGAGACACAGGCAGAGAGAGAAGCAGGCTCCATGCACCAGGAGCCTGACGTGGGATTTGATCCCGGGTCTCCAGGATCGTGCTCTGGGCCAAAGGCAGGCGCCAAACCACTGCGCCACCCAGGGATCCCCGTGACTAGATTCTTAATGGCAGTATGTGGGTACGCTTAATTGACTAAATAATTAATCCCTTACTATTGAACCTTTGTTTTTAACATTTTAATGATTATAAATAGCACCATGAACATCTTTTCTCACACATCTTAATGTATTCATTCAATTGTCTCCTTAAAATAGAACCCAGAAAACTGACCTACTGAGTCAAAGTAAATGCAGCATTTCAAGATATGTGGGATATCTTTTTTTTGTGTGTGTGGGATATCTCTTAACATCCTTAGAGTCAAGACACAAAAGACCCATGATTTCACTACTGCCTGTTGTGAACTTACTTCTATGTCCCTCTACTTGCTGCTAAATGTACTTGTCCTATATGTAACTGAGGTCAAGAATAATCTCACCACTCAGAATGTTTGTTTTCTTTTGTTTTTAATCCAGCATGGGCCTGGCCATATAGCAATAGAAGAATCATTTACATAGTAGCAGTACCAACATTTAGCAAGTATATACAAATTCAACCCATTCTATTTGTCCCCATGCAACACAAGTTGTTAAAAATTTTTGTATCACTCCTATATAGTGTTCTTGTTGTCACTAACATATACAACATAAAGCCATTTGACCTCACACTTAATAATCCCAACATGCCTGAACTTGAATTTCTCTTACCATGGCTGCGTTGTCATTTCTCACTATGTGGGACTGAAAGGATTATTCTCATCCCTCAAACTCTTTTTATTTGCTGTTTCTAAGAGTTATTTGCACATATTAAAAAGAAACTTATTTCTCCCAGAGGAACCAAAAGAAAAGGTCCTATTGATAAATTTGTCTAATTTATTTGCAAAGAGACTTTGATGAGCATCATGAGACTAGGACCCCTTAGATTTTTCTTAAGCTCACTGTGGAAAAGTATAAGAACACCTTTCTAAGTGACAAATTTATTTAAGATGTTAATACCTTAATAAGTCATCATATGGGGTGATTTATATATAGAAAAACTCAACAGTGACCTCAAAATTTCTATAAAGGATGGCAATTGGGTTAGAAAAGAATATGAGGGAGGATCTGCTTAAACATGCTCACTGACATAGTATTTTTGTTTGGGGTGGCCTCCACTCCATTGATTGAAAATGTGGTCCAAACTGGTCTACCCATATGGACTTTTCAAATTAATTAAAGGATCCCTATTTAAGAGTCAAATACTTTTCTTCTTTTTTTATTCTAACTAGAAAGAATCAACCTGTGGGCTAGTCTTACAGATATAATCTCTAAATGTAACTTGCTTCCAGGGAGACACAAGTGAATCTGGCTAATAAAGAAGGAAGAAATATGCTTACAGTTTGATTGTTATGCCAAAGGCCATCTGAAGACTGTGTCACAGTGCCATTCCCATCTGTTCAACAAGAAAGAAAATTAATTATAATTACAAAAAATATTGAATTTTCACTGTAGACACTAAATATATTCACATTGCCTTCTGGTGGTGAACAAAAATTCGCATAATAATATGGCCAAATGCTGCCAGACATTGCAAAAGTCATACCAAGTTACTATCTTGTATTAATTTATCCTGTAAGGTTGTGTTTCTTGACCATTTTACCATGGACCCTTTAAAAATGGACACTGTCTTCTTTATGGAAAAAAATGTATGTATACACAAAGTTTTATGTACAGTTTGAGGGGAAGTACAGAGGCCCATTCTTGAAACTGGGTTAAGAATGCCACTTAATGGTAGGTAGTCAATATTTTCATGCCAGCCAGCCAAGAACCTGTCAATGAGTGCCCAAAGGCCATATGCACATCCAAAGATCAGGACCACTCTATTCCAAATGGACATTACATTGGTTTTATTCAGAATATGAGTAAAATGTCCTCAGATATCTAAAACAAATGGCATATACTCTTACATTGTATGCCAGACTTTGATCCAGAAGTATTTTATAAAATATCTGTTATATCAGCTGTGAAACTAAGATATATTATACTGCCTAAAATCCTAATATAAAAGGATATTATGCCTCAAGGTTTTGAATGTTCAAATTTTAACATAGTTTTGAAGACTATTTTGTAAATATAGCTAGAACCCCAAGCTATAACAGTATCCATCTCATAAAGTAGTCGAATTAGATGATGTACTTTAAGGCTTAACACCATATTAGATAAATATTAGCCGTTATTAATTATTACGTTATACTGGAAGGAGCAGTGGGGAGAGAGACACTATGCAACACACCTCCCAAACATCATGTCCTTCTATCATCATTAACATCCGGGGAGGAAGGCAACATCTTGCCCATGGGCACGCAGCTACTAGTTGGCAGTTGAATTGGGAGCTCCTGTCTCTAAAGCAGAACTATTGGGCTCCCTAATCTAACAATTGTAATAAATGAGACCTGCCTTAGTGAGATAATGTCTGACAGTTTCCTGGCATATACATCTAGCTAAAGTGGGTGGTGGGCCATATGAGCCCCAAAATCCCTTCCAGACCTAACCAACATTCTTTGCTTCTGTTGAGTCTTCAGTTTGCTAAGGCTGACACAGGCACAGTGAGGATTTGGCTTGAGACCCTAACTATACTACCAAGGTGGCAGCAATCACATAAGTCACAGGGGACACAGCTGCTCCTATGTCTGTTCCACTCTGGAAAGCTCTACCTTGACCAGGTTTTAGTCCCATGATTCCCTATTTCTATGTTCTCCCCGTTCAAACCTTAAAAGCATACATTGCGGCTGCTTCCTACTGCTGTTGCCTTGTGTTTCTATTTATTTTCACTTTGTTTTTGTGCCCAGAAACAGTTCATACTAAGGATTCTACTTTCCAAACCAAATGTCACCATTATCTAATCCCCATTGAAAAGATCTCTCTGTGAATCTCACTTCAGGTCTATTTTAGATTAACCAGCTTCCAGGAATGATTGGCAAAAGATAAGCCACACAGTGAGGCCCCCTACAGATTGGCAACTCCGGAGCAACATGAGTCATAGACATGAAGGAGGAGGCTTGCAAGGCTGGACCTTGTTTGCATTCAGCACAGGCCCAAGCACACATAAACTGGCTCTGCAGTGCAAAGGGGTTTGGCATGTGGCATTCCCCCATATAACCACTATAGGTAACAGAATTATTTGGGGAAAATGAGAAGATTCAGCATCACCTTTCCCTACCACAGGAAAGACAGGTCAATCTTAGGTTTCAAAAAATTAAAGATTATATGAGACTTGCCCACAATGGGGACAATAGGAAAAAATCAGAGAAGGGACTAGACAGTGTCAGTGGACGTCCCTGTTGGTACTGGTGCTGATGTACTCAACCCATCTCAAAGTGTCCATGTGCAAGCCTCACAGGGCAGCAGGGGAGCTTCCTAGATGTATGTAGGGTCTGGGTCTTTGATGAAGCCTGAATATGGTTGACCAATTTGGTCTGGATACCAGAGGGCTGGATTTAATTGTTTTACGGCTCTGGCCCAAGGGAGCAAGTCCACTAATAAGTCTGGAGTCACGAGCAGTTCATTTAATTAAGAATAGTGCTATGCATGTGGGTGTCCCCAGATCATATAAGCTCCCTGGGCCAGTTAGGCATATGGATTCCAGACATTCTAAGAGTCACAGTTGCTATTGTATCTATTACTTACCACCTTTGTACTATGTCTTAGGTTTTTCACCTTATTTAATCCTCAAAGCATTCTACAAGATCATAGGTGTTCCACCCATTTCATGAATGATTAAAGCAGGTTCTAAATGGGTAAGACATTGTCCAAGTCACATGGCTGACTGGAGTGACCAGTATCAGCATTCATGTCAAATCTGCCTTACTCTGGAATATGGGCTTTTAACAATGCATCAGGGTTATTAAAATGTGAGGACTCCCAGGCATCCAGGAACATAAATGAAGTTACCTGTCGGGCAAGAGTACAATGGTGAATTGGTGGGCTGTGTCCTGCTTGTTTTCTGCAGCGCAGTAGGCTGGATTTCTGCCGTCTGCATTGCAGAAGATGAAGTAGCTACTGGAATGAAAAGAATGCAAGAACTGTGCTGTCTTCTAAGAGAAAAATTCCCACCCTCAACAAAAATAAAACACAAAATAAAAATTAGGAATCCCCATCAGCTTCCTGCAGGGTGCTCTCCCAGCCATCCCCTGAAGGCATTCCTCTCACCCAACCACTTCCATTCCTTCCAGCTTCCTCTTAGAAACGTATTCAAAGATGGACTTGAGGTACTACACTGCCATCTAGGCATACCAAGATCATGAAGAAATCTGATCTAGCAAACAATCCGGAGAGCTTATCCGAATCTAGGATTATTTCACACTTTTTCTACTCCTAGGATTCCCCCTAAATGTCAAAAGCTTAAAACAGTGCACCTTACATAGGACATCCAATTAAGCTTTTGTTCTTGTTCATTTTCTCAGGAACAGGGTCTGGGAGTTTGTGCTAATTTGCCCTTCCTCTTTCACAAGAGCCCAATCTAGATTTCCTGGCCTTATTCAGATTCCTGATGACCCATGCACACATCTTTCCATAGAGATGCACATATGGATCAGCACAGAACACATAACTCACAATTTCTAATTCCTTGAGGTCTCTTCAAGGTGACAACATTGTCCAATGTCTGAACCTTGGTGATAATTAACAACTCTCAAAGCCATGTTCTCGGTAGATCTTGACCTGGCTCCTTCTGCAGTGGCATTCAGGTCACTTCTTTTATATGATTGATTTCCTGTGTTATCTGACTCATCTTAGGTTTTGCACCAAAAAGCTTCACTAAGAGTTTTCCCATACAGGGCTAGGTTTCCCTTTCCTTTCTAAAATCACTCCTTTACTTTCTATCAGATATCTCACTTTAGTGCAGCACTGATCACTTGTCTATTTGTGTATTAATATTTTAAATATTGTATTTTTATATACTTTCCTTTAGCACCACAAATTTTAGAGCATGTCAGTGATGCCTGCTGAACAAGAATTCTTAAACTTGGGCTTTTCTTGCTTTGTGTTAGTCTTTCTATTTTCCCTTCCCCACAGTGGTCCTTGCATTTCAACATCACCCTTTCTCGTGTTCTGAACTATTTCCCTGCTTCTCTCTAATGCTCAAATATATAACAGGATGTAGCTCTGCTTAAGAACTAAGAACAGGACAATACAATTAAGTCAGGTGATCAGAATCTTTATTCAACTTGGATCTGTGCAAAAGACCTCTTGGACTTAACTTTTTTTTTCCAAGTTTCAGTCTTAGCAGGCATCTTTCTTTTCTCTCTGTTTTCTAAAACCTTACATCCAACCATTCCATGAATAGTTAGGCAACTAGGATGCACAAGAGGCCCTGAGTACAGAAGAGAGCAGATGTAAGGATAAATGTCTCCACATTGGATCTGTTCCAATGTGCACCTCCTTCCTGTTCATCTCAACTCAAAATCATGAGAAAACCATCAAGACAAGGATAAGGCTCAATTAATATCATTCCTGAGGAGGTTACATGGACATATGAACCAATACTTTTCTTCTGAATCTTTGCTTTAAACATGTTGTTCACCAAACCAAGTCCACTAATCCATCCACATTTGCAGGCACAAACTAAGTATTACAAGTTAAATCAATATTGAGAAAGTCAACAGATTCCCTAGTGTGTTCAGTTGCCTTGAACAGAGCTATTTTTCTTTACAAACTTTTATGGCTTTAAAATCCCAGTTTTAACCTAAAGCCCTCTCTTCCAAACTCAGCTCAAAGCCCCAATCCTTCAGATCCCTTCTGATTAAATATACATAGGGTTCAATGGGAGTCAAGGGAAATCAATATGTTTCATCAGATTTTTCTGGCTAAGAGGTTGTGACATCTCTGTTACTCCTTAGAATCCAGTGCTACTCCAAGGGGTCAAAGAGTTTTGAAGGCTTTAAGACTCTCTACTGAAAGTTATCTCTTTAATCCTAAAGATAGATTTGAACCTAAACTTGTCCTCAGAATGGCAAGCTATTTCTCTACCTTTAAATCAAATTATTCTCCATTTGTATTAAATCTAAGCTCTTATTTATCAGAAGTTGGAAGTATGAACCATGTGGCCTGAACAACAACAACAAAAAAAAGTGTAAATTCTAAATCCCTGAAGTCTTTTAATCTGATGACTTTTCATCAGTATAAATAGCATCTTTTGCTATTTCTATGCTACATAAATAAATTAAAGAACGCTGAAAGCAAAACTGTGTAAGTAGATTGATTGCCCAGAGAAAACAGGGTAATTGTATAAAGGATTTTTCAGTGAGGATGTCAGATAAAGACAAATTCATCCAAACCTAAGCTCAGTGCTCATGGTAGAAGGCACAATCCAGTAGTTAAAAGCACAGGCTCAAAATTCAAATTAATGGAGAATGAATCCTGATTCGAGTAGTTTCTATCCGTATAACTTGACACGATGAACTCAGATTCTGTCCCTTAGTTCTCACAACTATAAAATGGGATGGAATTATACCTTTAGTACATAGGGGTTGTCATAAGGATTAAGCAACATAATATTTGTAAAACACTTATCATGGTTCCTGTCACATAGTGTGAATTTTAAGTTCACTGAAATCTCATCTTCAAGTGGAGGTCTGGCTTCAGCATGAACTAAATGATCTCTACTCAGAGCTCCTTATAAAGACAGAAGCTCATTAACCTGACCCTCATTCCCTCACATTCCCTATTCTTTCCTCAAAAACCTGTGCTCAACTGGGCCAAATCCACTCATCTTCATAAGATGTCTAAGATTAATGGTCTGGCTTTGCGAGGGAGGTGTTCGTAATAATGAATTCCTTGGAGAATCTGACCAAAATCTATGAGTTCCCTTGCTCTAAAAATGTTTATATGTTTTTAAAAAGTACATATAATTTAGGACAGTTCCAAGCCCATGTTTGGAACCCAAGTAAGAATCCTTAACCTAGATTGTGCTTCTGCCTTAACACAATGTCATAGATGGTCTACATCCTCTCATTAGAAGACCTCTGGGCTCAAGGAACATTTGTTTACCTGGCTTGAGGTTCTGCGTGGGTGCTGGCGTTGAAGAGGTAGAGGTAAAGACCCTAGGTGATGTTGGAACACTGGTGACCTCAGCTGGAGTTAGAAACCAACATGAAAGCAAGGATTAATCAAGCAGCAAGAAACAAGAGCCTTGTGCTGTACGAGTGTACCATTGCAGTCCCGAAACAGTCTCTTCCCTGAACTCAGAGTGTTTATCATTGGCCAACTAGAATCTGTGACAGAGGAGGACTTGAGACATACTTACAAAAAGGAAACATCTGCATTAAAAGGTATATATTTGGGGAGGTTCAGAAGTGAAAAATGTCACCTGGGGTTCGCATTGAAGCACTTTGAGAAGACCAGTCATGCATACCAGATTTCTGTATCTTCATAAACATCTGTGAGGGAAAGAAAATGTCTAAAGCGTGGAGCTGCCTTTTCCTCTCCATGGTGAGTGGCTAAGATTTCCACAGTAGTTCCCAGGCCTCAAGCGCTTACCAAATAAGTAGCATTCAGTCCAGTCAGTCTTGAAGGTAATGACACAGGGACCTGTGTCTGAAGTAAGGACTGACTCGCACCCATTAGCATATGCTCTATAAATCACACAGATGATTTATACATTTGGTAAGAAGGGAAACTAGACTTTTTATGATTCCTTATCACCTAATAGATAAAAACAGCTAATAATGTTGACTCTCCAGAGTCAGCAGTGGTGTAGAATTCCAAACTACTTAGCAAAAGTGTGAGAGCTACCCAGATGGAGCTAAAACCAAAACACAAGAACTTGAACACAAGGCCTAGCACAAAAGCACACCAATGAAGGGCTGAATCAAGGATGTATACTTTTGATCTCACTAGGCACCTTTTTTCTCTGCAAGAAGTTTCCTTAAGTTTTGACTTGACTGACTACAAAAGAAAACCCGTATCACTAAATAGGGGACAGTTGATTTGAAAACTTTTCTTTCTGAAAGATCTAATTTAATTTAGAATCTAAAGAGGAAAAACTTTTTTTTCAACAAATATTTGTATCTATTATATGCAAAGCATTAGTCTAAAGCAGAGGTCAGAATTTTCTGGAAAGGGCCAGATAGTAAATGCTTTAGGCTTTAGGGGGCACTATGGTCTTGGGGGCAGTCACTCCACTCTATCCCTGGGGAAGATGCCATTGACAAAATATATCAAATGGGTGTGGCTGCCTAAATAAAAATTTATAAAACAGCAGGCTAGTTTTGTAATCTGATTTAGACCTAGGGCTATAGTTTGCTGACCCTGATCTACGGTGTAGTTAGAGACTCCCAAAAAGAGTACAATCCAATCCCCTCCTTCCAGTTTCAAATCTAATCTAGAGGGGGAAAAGCACACATGCAAACATTTTGATCAAAGGAGTGTACGGGGGGAAGCCTGGGTGGCTCAGTGGTTGAGTGTCTGCTTTTGGCTCAGGGCATGACCCCGGATTCCCCAGGATAGAGTCCCACATCGGGCTCTCTGCATGGAGCCTGCTTCTCCCTCTGCTTCTCATGAATAAATAAATAAAATCTTAAAAAAAAAAAAAAAGAAAAAAGAAAAGAAAAAAGGAGAATAAGGGAAACAATAAAGCGGTAAAGAGGAGATAACCTAATCAACTTGTCTAATGAGGGGATCCCTGGGTGGCTCAGGGGTTTAGCGCCTGCCTTCGGCCCAGGGCGTGATCCTTGAGCGAGTCCCAGAATCGAGTCCCATGTCGGGCTCCCAGCATAGGACCTGCTTCTCCCTCTGCCTATGTTTCTGCCTCTCTCTTTCTCATGAATAAATAAATAAAATCTTTAAACACACACACACACACACACACACACACAAATTGTCTAACGAACTTGGTTTCTTTAGTGGTAAATATTTTCCCCAGGCAGGGGAAACTGTAACTACAGGAAACTACAGGAAACTGTAACTGTAGATGCTGGTGGAAAAAAGCCTGAACAGAAGCTTCAAGAGTAAGCTCAGTCTGTGAAAACCGCAAGCAAACTTAAGCAAAGAATTGGTTATTGGAGGCAGAGTCTCCCTGGCTCAGTTACAGACCCTCTTCCCACTTGACAGAGCATCTGTAAGTGCTCCCCCTTTAAAGATTTTCATAGCACTTTACAGGTGTCCTACTAATTTCTCATTATGCTAATTCTTAACATTCAACCAAACCAATAATAAATTTCATTAATCCAAAAATGTAATCACGCTCTCTCCTCCACATGCTACTTCCTTGCATCTGTCTAGAGCACTCAATTATCACTGGCCTCTTCTGGCTTCCCTAAATTGCTTCCCACAGATGGGTTTCCCCCAGGGTCAGCTATTTTCTCCATCAGAACAGACCATCTCACTTGTCTTCACAAAACAAGTCAAGTCCATAAGTTGGAAGATTGCAAAACTAAGTTCCTCTTAATTTAAAAGAAGAAAGAAAGACAGACACATAGTTTATTAAGGCCACAAGTATTGGGTTCTGTTGTCACTACCAGAGCTTACTGGAAGGAAATTCGTTAGGAAGGAACACCAGAAACCAGGAAATCCTTAAGAATCCACTCTGTTCATCCAGTGATAAAGAAAATGAGGATGTTCACATTGAGACTGATTTTTGGATTTCATCAAATTCTTAAAAGTAACTGAATGGTTATTGGAATGTAAATGTTTTCATATTGCAATAAGGTCACTTTAATTTTTAAACAAGCAATTTTGTGATATGGTATGAAATATGCGTCAAAAATATCCCAGGCAGGGCAGAGGGAAGGGTGGAACTATAGCTCCCTTTACAACGTATATACAACTAGATTGACTTGACAGTTCTTAGAGCTGGGTGCTATACCTACTTCACAAGACCTTATATTGTATTACCTACTTTGAAATTCTCCAAAATAGTTTTTAAATGTTGAAGACATTTAAAAATCTCCAAAATAGTTTTAGAATGTTAAAGACATAAAAAATCAGACATAAAAGGACAGTTCTTTAAGTGAAATAAACTCAGCTTGATAAAAATGTTCACTATATTTCACAATGGAACTCTGAATGCTGTTATGAACCAACTAGCATTTTTTAAGACCTGCTTTAGGAGATAGTTTGCAGACTGGAAAGATTCTCAAGCCTACCATCTTGATCAAGATTGGTCTTAACACTTCACTTTATGCAAATAAAAGTCATTCTATTTTCCAACAGTTACTGAAAAACAAGATTGTAAGAACCTCCCCTTTCCCTATTTAAGGAAAGCTACTACCAAACAGTAAATATCTCAGTTAACCCACATGAAGTGATCAAAGGAAGAAGGAAGACAAACTCACCTGGCTTTATCTCCAATGATAGGGTGAGTTTCATGTCATTGAACCACCCCCTGTGCTCAACACGGCAACAATACTGGCCACTGTCAGTCTGGGCCGCATTCTCTATAGTCAAAGACACATCCCCTTCTGAAAGTTTTCCTTTTAGCTTATAACGCAGGTGCTTCTGAAAGGTGACATGGGATCCATTAGTCCAGACTATTTCTTCTAAGCAATGGGACATAGGACATGCCCCTCTGCCCCAGCACATGGTTGTGACTCCATTAGCTGTTGAATAGGTGCAGGGTAGTGTGGCAGGATGACCCACCACTCCATTCACTTGAACATAAGAAACTACAGCATCTGTGAACAAAGAGAAAATAGAATATGAGAGCAAGATAGAGACCAACCATGAAACAGACTCTTACCTATAGAAAGTAAGCTGATGGTTACTAGAGGGGAGGTGAGTGGAGGGATAGATGAAATAGGTGATAGGGATTAAAAGTGCACTTACCATGATGAGTACTGTGTAATGTACACAAGTTTGAATCACTATATTGTATACCTGAAACTAATATAACACTGTATATGAACTATACTAGAATTAAAATTTAAAACTTAATTTAAAAAACAATTATTAAAAAAATAAATAATAAATAAAAGATAAAAATAAAAAACTATTATTGTCTTAAAGGCAGAAGTCTAGTAAACTCTTCAGAAATCAACTTTTAGAAAATCGGTTTCTAAGGGCACCTGGATGGCTCAGTTGGTTAAGCATCCAACTCTTGGTTTCTGCTCAGGTCGTGATCTCAGGGTCATGAGATCAAGCCTTGCTTTGGGTTCTGCACTCAGTGCAGAGCTGGCTGGAAACTGTCTCTCTCCCTCTGCCCCTCCCCCTGCTCACATACTCTCTCTCTCTCTAAAATAAATAAAATCTTTTTTTTTAAAAAAAGAAAAGAAATGAGTGTCTAATACTTCTAGGAGGAGCTGAGGTTTACCAGGGGCCTTAGGATCAATCTAAAAAAATCCAATAGGGACCTCATCCCATAAACTGATAACAGCCCCACAACTGAGCAAGGCCCACATCCCCCATGAAAAGAAAGAACTGGAAAATAGTCATGTACTAAATCATCCCACTTAAAAAACAAGAAGTCTCTACTGGAGTGGTAGAAGAAAAACCCTGTAGTGCCAAATGCAGTCAAGGTAGCCCTTAAAAGAAATCTGAAATTTACCATATTTAGAATTGGGCTGTGATATTGGGAAATGCTCTGGAAATAAAAATGCTCATAATTACATAAAGTAAGAAACAGACTTTTTCCCTGAATCCTTACATATTTAGTTTTGCCTAATGTCACCTATGGATGACAAATATAATATATGCTAATTATAAAAATCAAGTTATACAAGCAATAATAAGAAATGAGCTTTCCCTCACAATCTGACTTCTGGAGATTATTGTTTTTAAAATTTAAGATTATGTCTATTCCTAACTTTCCCCTCTATCTCATGGAATGTTTTGAAACAAAATATTTTTAAAAGCAATAGTTGCACATCATTTTTAAAAAACCAAATGACACAAGATAGTTTGATGAAGGGCTGGTCTCCTTTCCATCTTAGCCCAGTCTCTTCTCTCCATCCCCTCCATCCATGGTAACACTATTATCCTGTCTCACTTCCACTTCAGTAGTCCATACTTACACCACCCCTGTTTGTTTGTTTGTTTGTACACAAATGTCAGGATATGACCCACTATTCTGCATTGTGTCTGGTTCAGTTACCCATGGATTTTGCAATTCGTAGCATTTTAAGTAATTTCTTTTGAGCAAAATTTAGTCCAGTTCTTTGCTCACCAGCTGACCCACAACCTTCCACCAAAGCCCAAGCACATCCATCTTCCTACACTACACACACACACACACACACACCTCCTACACTCTCTTATCCTCAGGGCTTCCAGACCCCAGCCCACCTATTCACTTACCCGTCAGAAGTAGTATGAGGCTGGAGATAGCTACCCAAAGTTGCATGATGGTGATGGTCTGAAGGAAAGAGAAAGCAGACTGGTAGGTGTGCCCCTCACCAGAAGGTCTTAGAACAAGTCTTAACTCTCAGATTGCAACTTCTCCTTTCGTGGTGACTGGGTGAATCACATGCGCCTGCCCTATTAGCGATGAGAGATCAAGCATGACTGCGTTAGGTCTCAGGTATCCCCAGGGGTGGCTGAGGGTTCTGCACCTTCCAACAGACAGGGAAAGCCATCTTCAGAACAGCCCCTCATTTCCCAGCTCCTTCCCCACCGAGCCCAAACTGAGTACTGATGCTGACATGGGATGAGGAAGCAAACAGAAAAGAAACCAGAGGCAGGTTCAATGACAGGGACATCAGAGCAAAGACTAGTCCTCACTTACCCTTGGCCTCTGAGATGAGAGGCAATGGGCCCTGTGGTGAGTGCAGGGTACTCCTTGTGCTTTCACTACACTGAACCATCCCCAACTTCAGTCATACTGTCAAGTGTGCAAGAATTAATCAAGAATGTGAATCACTGCCTGACCATTCATGTTACAGGAAGCAATGACTCAGATCACACATCACTGAGTGATGTCAGCAGAATGTTTCAGGAAGCAGATTCCGGAGCAGGCATGGGTTCAGATCCCCACTCTGCCACCTGTGAAGCTGGGTATCCCTGTGGGTTACTGAGCTCCTCCAAGCCTTAATTTCCTCATTTGTAAAACAGCATGAAAAATACTTGCTCTGATGATGTACTCTATGTTGGCTAATTGAATTTAAATTAAAAAAAAAAAAAAGACTTGCTCTGTCTCCCTCAAAGGATTGTTATAATGAACAAAAGGGATGTGGGAGACCCTTTGAAAATGAAACCTAAATATGCATTAACGCTAACCAAGGTTTTTGGAGAACTTACTGTGTAGCGGGCTCTATGCCAAGTACCCACATGCACTTAATCCTCACAGACACCCTCAGGCAGGTGCTGCTACCTACCTCATTCATGGAAGAGGAAACTGAGGTCTTCTGACTTTTGCTCTTAATTATTAAGCCATACAAGTATGTGTAAGCCTGCCTCGTAGTTCATTAACTGCTCTTTGGGTCTAAAGATTCAGTAACTTCCTCCCAGGGAGGCATGGATGCTCCATTTCTAGGCTGCTTGCAGCCTATCATCAGCTTCATGGAGACATGGATGATGCGCTGGATATTCTGTGGTGATGGGTCCTTTGCTGCCTGGGAATGTGAACCCTGGACTCCAACAGGGTCTGCACTTGGAAAAAGGCCTACAGCCTGATGCTACAAACTAGTGGCCTGAAGACTATATTTGACCCACAGAAGTACTTTGTACCATGGTGTTTAAAAATTCATGTCTTGGGCACCTGGGTGGTTCAGCAGTTGAGTGTCTGCCTTCGGCTCAGGTTGTGATACTGGGATCTAGTCCCACATCATGCTCCTCACAGGGAGCCTGCTTCTCCTTCTGCCTATGTCTCTGCCTCTCTCTCTGTGTCTCTCATGAATAAAGAAAGTCTTTTAAAAAATAAAAATAAAAACTAATGTCTTAATTAATGGTCAAGATTTAGAAATCTAGAGGGTCTATGTGAGAACTCACCTTTTCAGCTTTGTTAGGAGATACAATTAGATGGCTGTACAGGGCCTGTACCAGTCAGTGCCCTTAGAGTGTGCTCTCTCAAGCCTGCCCCTGCACCAGCCTTCTCTAGGGTGGGTGGGTGAGAGGGCGCTTCAGTGTCTGAAGGGCCCTGGGTAGAGGAGGCTCTGGCTTTCAACTCTGCTCCACCTCCATGAATACCAATTCCTTCCTGTTACTGGGACTTCACACAAACTATCCCTTGGCCTATTTGCTGAAAGTCACCTCCTCCATATAACAGTTGTACTATAATACTTGTAATAGCTTTCCTAGCTTTTCAATGCTACACCCTTGAATTCAATTAGGTAGCAAGATGAGTTCTCACAAGGGAAGCATTCATTTCTGGACACCCACTTTGCTCTTATTCTCCACTTTATATACTTGGAGGGAAAAATATTGACCCTACCTTGACCACACCAAAGGTGGGGATACAAATTTTGAAATGCTCACAAAGAAGGAGGTCATATCTGATATTTATTTTGGAGGCAAAATATGTTATAACCAGTTTTTTTATATTCTGAAACTCAGCCAAAGCCCAGCAGATCAGTGATAAGGATTTTTCTAATTTATTCAATCCTACCAAAGTTATTATCAATATATGGAGGCTAATGGGACATGATTCAATAAACTAAGAATGAAAAAAATCCAGGATTATGCAATCAAGTGGAAAGACAGGTAAGTAAGCAATAAAATTGGGCAGAATGATGTAAATGGTAAATATATAATCAGACTGTGTCACTCTTCCCCTTACAACACTCCCATGGCTGTCTCAGAAAACAAAACAAAACAAAACAAAAAAGCAAAAGTACTAACTTCCTGCCCATATTTACAAAGTCCCGCAGAGTGGTCTGGCCCCTGCCTACCTCTCCGATTTCTTCTCCATCTGTCTCCCCTGCCACAGGGCTCCAGACACTCGGGGTTCTTTCAAATGTGTCCCCATGTTAGGCCTCTTCCCCTCATGGTGCCCTCTGCCTAGATCTCCAATCCTTTACACCATCATTTTGAGATTTCTCCTTTTCTTGTCAACCTCTGCTAAAATGTCACCTTCTCAGACATCCCTCTGGTAACTCTAAAGTAGCCAACCAGTAACCTTACTACACTATTTCAATTCTCTAGGCAGCATTTATTACCTTGTTTCCCTTGATAGTGTGTGTGTGTTCTCCATCCTCCCTCTCTCTTGTACTGTTCAATAGAACTTTCCACAAAGATGGAGTTATTCCAACATGTGGGTGTCATGCAACATAGTAGCTGCTAACCACATTTGATGAAATGTAACCAGTACAACTGAGAAGTTAAAAACAATGTTAATTTTAATTAATTTAAATTTAAATAGTCATGCACAGATACAGTCTTGGAAAGTACTCAATTCTAGACGGTAAGCTCCTCTAAGACAGTATTCTTACTGTATTCCTAAACTATTGTAAGGGACCTAATTAGTATTGATTAAATAAGCTAATGGAAGCATGAAATCATGCTGGGGAGATCATTCCTTGACTGGGGGAGGTAGAGGTGAGACAGGAGGGAGTGGCAGAAAAATCCCTTTAAAAAGTGATATGTGAGGTTCATCGCCAGAAAATTGGGTAAGGGGGAGATAGTGTTTTAAGTAGAAGAAATAATGAGCAAGAGCCATAATAGGGACACAGAATTAAGGCTCCAAGATGTTAGTTGACCATACAATTTTGTAGGACTGAAAGTTTTGGCAACTCCATCTCCTACAACAACCTCTATTGTGTCCCAAAAGGCTCCCAAATAGCCTAGTGTTGTTCTGTTTTGTTTTTAATTTGAACTCTACAACCTCCATGAATCACTACTCTTTAGTGCCATCGTTGTGACTCCTTGAAGAATACATCCCACATCGAGGGGTAAGGCTCAAGGGGTGACAATGCTCAGGCACCAAACATGAATGTCCAGCTGCTTACTGTACCTGAGAAGGAGCGCCACCGCAGGTGCATAGCAGTGACAGCATCAGGCTTACCTTTGGGAAGGACTCTGTAGCTGCTAAGGTGAGAAGCATGAAGACCTGTCAGGAGACTTTTGTAGTATGTCGGAAGAGAGGAAGGAATGATAGCAGATAGTTCAGGCTCTGAATGTTTTCAAAGTAGAGAAAACAGGATTTCCTACAGGATATGAGGTGTAGGAGCTTCAACATGACTCCAAGGGATTTTGGCCTGAACAACTGGAAGAACTGGAAGTGCCACCGAAACTGGGAAAGCTGTGCTCCCCACAGGTTTGGGAGGAAATAGTCTAGATTTTTAAAAGTATTGAGTTTCAGGTAGCAGCTGTTGGAGTTCAGGAGACAGATCCAGCACAAAGATACATATTGGGGAATCATTGGTATAGAAATGGTACTTTAAAGTCAGGAACCTGGGTGAGACGCTCAGGGGAATGCTTGCAGCTCAGGACTGAGGCCTGGGACAATCCCCGGAAGGCTGAAGAAGAGGCTCCAGCACACAAGTAGAAGCCAAGCAAGAAGGGAAGAGGAGACGCAGCAAGTAGAGGGGATCTTGTCAAGTGAAACACATACATCCAACGAAGAGGCAATGATCACAAGTCACAGATTCATCTACAGAATGGTGCGACCTGGGAATCGCTGATGACCTTGACAAAAGCAGTTGTGGTGAAGAGCAGCCGAGTGATGGTTTACTCTCCTTAGGTATGTTATGTCTCAGAAAAAAGAAAAAGAAAAACAACATTTGCAAAGGAAGGGAAAATTTAGAGAGCCTTGGGAAACAGGGAACTCTTTCAAGGAGTTTTATAGGGAAAAAGAAAGAGAAGAGGGAGATGGGTAACAGAGTCAGGAGAAAGATTTTTTAAATGATAAAAATAGGGGTGCCTGGGTGGCTCAGGTCATGCTCCTGGGGTCCTGGGGTCAAGACCCACATCCGGCTCCCTGCGGGGAGTCTGCTTCTCCCTCTGCATATGTCTCTGCCTTTTCTCAGTGTCTCTCATGAATAAATAAATAATCTAAAAAAAAAGATAAAAAGATAAAAATAGCAGCATGTGTGTATGATCTCGAGATGATCCAGAAGAGGAAGAAAAATTGATTTAAGAAAGGAAAAATTTATAGAGTAATGGAGAGATGAAATCCAGTGCCCAAGCAGGGGATTTCAATTAGACATGATCAGGGCAGCATATGCATAAGAGCGAATGGACTAGGGACTATGGTAGGACCATCTGGCAGCACTGAGATGCCATTGGAGGTAGGAGTCATGAAAATGAGACCAGCCCAAGAGTCTGGTAGTGTTCTCCAGCTACTTGCAGACACAGGCTATGGGGGAGGAGTAGGAGACTCCATATCATCGGTGTATGCCTTTTTTTTTTTTTAAATCTTCTCCAGTATCTCTCTCTAAATAATCTAATCAAGTGTCTCTCCCATTTTAAAAGCATCCAATGGCGTCCCAGTGCCAAAGTCCAAACTCTGACCGCTGCCCACCCTCCCAAGCTGACCACACCCTTCCACCCCAAGCCTCGCAAAACTCTAACTACTCTGAGCCATTTGTATCTGCTAATTTTCA